CTGATTTTTCCTTTTGTTATGGTAGCAAAGTTTTATTAAAAGTAGGAAAACAAACATTTGCAGACTGAATTTGGGTCAGCTAAAAGAAAATGAGTAGACCCTGGCCAGGGATATACAACCCAGCTGTATAACTGCCTGCCTTTAAGTGCAAGGTCCTAAGTTCATTTTTAGGTGCATACATACTCACTATGATGAGTGTGATTTTTTTTTTTTTTTTAAGACAAGGTCTTTCATGTATGAACTGGCCGTGAACTTGCTGTAATCCCAGGCCAGTATCCCAGGCTGGCCTTGAACTCAGCAATTATACTGCCTCAGCATCCCAAACACTGGGATTACAGGTGTGTGCCACCATGCCCAGCCCAAGAAACTTAATTTTAAAAAGCATTGCATAAGCAGGGTATGGCACACATGCCTATAATCCTGGCAGTTGGGGCTGAGGCAGGAGGATTGCTTCAAATTCAAGGCCAGCCTGAACTGTATAATGAGATCCTATCTCAAAAAGGAAAAAAACCAAAATTATGTAAGTGAACTGTTGACTAAAACTTGAAAAGTACCTTTGTTGTGCATATAATTTGGTAATGTTAAGATGAAATTTGATCTGTATTTTTTTTTAACCTATCAGTAATAGTAGGCTTCTCAAAAGTATAGGTATATAATTTTACTCCTCAGGAGACTGCCTCAGGAGACTGAGGCAGAATGATTAAAAGTTAAGGTCAGTGTGGACTACTTCACTAGAACCAATTCAAGTTAGGAAAAATGGAAAGGGGCAACTGGGAGTATAGGTCAGTGGTAGAACACTTGGCTCAGTGTGCTGAGCCTTGGGTTTAATCCCCAGGGTATAGGGATTGAGGATTAAGGTGGGACGTGGGGTCCCGCATAGCCCAGACTGGCCTCACAGCAATCTTCCTGCTTCAGCCTCCCAAGTGCTGGGAGTGTGGTTATACTTGGTGTTAAATGTTTTTATTCAAGTTATTTTTCATCGGCATACCTGTACACTGACACAGATTAGATTAATAGCTAGTTTTATACTTGTTTAATTAATTTTTGTAAAATATTTATTGCTTTTAGGTTGGCAAAAGCAGCTTTTGATGATGCAATTGCAGAACTGGATACACTGAGTGAAGAAAGCTATAAGGACTCTACACTTATCATGCAGTTGTTACGTGATAATCTGACACTATGGACTTCAGACATGCAGGGTGATGGTAAGCAAACTTTAGGTTAAATGAATGTCTTGCAATTACTGGATAATTTTATTTTTAGTATTTTATAATGTATAATTTAGGCTAACAGCTTGTGTACTATAAACTGTCATTTTAATTACTGCTTTTAATAGGAAATGGTTCCAGTATAGTCTTTTGTTTTAGGCTTTGAAAATAAGAGGTTTAGAAAAGTGAAATCTTGTGTGAATCTTAAGATTTAA